CCCTGGCCATCACCAACTCCAGGAATCTACTCAAACTCATGTCCATTGAGTCAGTGATGCCATCCAACCATCTCATTCTCTGTCATCCCCTTCTCCTCCTGCCCCCAATCCCTCCCAGCATCAGGGTCTTTTCCAACGAGTCAACTCTTCGCATGAGGTGGCCAAAGTATTGGAGTTTCAGCTTCAACATCACTCCTTCCAATGAACAACCAGGACTGATCTCCTTTAGGATGGACTGGTTGGATCTCCTTGCAGTCCAAGGGACTTTCAAGAGTCTTCTCCAGCACCACAGTTTAAAAGCATCAATTTTTCGGCACTCAGCTTTCTTCACAGTCCAACTCTCACTCACATCCATACATGACCCCTGGAAAAACCATAGCTTTGGCTAGACAGACCTTTGCTGGCAAAGTAATGTCTCTGCTTTTTAATATGCCATCTAAGTTGGTCATAGTTTTCCTTCCAAGGAGTAAGCAGTCTTTAAATTTCACGGCTGCAATCACCATTTTACAAACCCCTAATAAAATTCTTGACCTAGGGAATGACCAATGGCTGCTAAAATTATACAGAGTAACAGACAGATATTATAGTGCCTTGGAAGTATTCTTTCAAAAGAGAAACAGAGGAAGATGGTCAATAACACCACAGGGATGCAAACAGCAAAACAGAGTCTGAGAAAATCTGTAAGGCAAGTGTATTACAAGAAAAAAGGAAGAGGGGAAATGGAAGAAGAAATTAAAAGAGACATATCAATTGAATGTAATGCATGAACCCTGATTTGAAAAGCCAACTATTAAAAAACTGTGAAATTATAAGCGTAATTTGGGCTTCCCTGATGGCTCAGATGTTAAACAATCTCACTGCAATTCGGGAGACCTGGGTTTGATCCCTGGGTTGGGAAGATCCCCTGGAGGATGGCATAGCAATCTACTCCAGTGTTCCTGCCTGGAGAATCCCATGGATAAAAGAGCCTGGTGGGCTGCAGTCCCTGGGGTTGCAAAGAGTCGGACACGACGGAGAGACTAAGCACAGCACACGGGTGATTTGAACATTTATTTGAACATATATTTGAAAATACTGAGGAAGTGTTATGTTTACATATTTTGAGAGAGTCCTTACTCTATAGAGATATATATGGAAATATTTATGGATGAAATTATGGTGTGTGGCACTTGCTTCAATGTAACCCAGCTGGGTATGCAGTCATAAATGAAACAAGACTAGTATCAGTTGATAATTTTTGCAGCTGGATGATGGGTATATGGTGTTCCATATATGTCCACATAACTGAACTCTTCCTTAATAAAAAGTTGGGGGGAGAAAAGGCTAAAATTTGAGTTTGGATAACTGGGAAACTATTCCAAACATGCTTTGTTCTTTATGAGCCATAAAGGATACCAAGAATGTTCAGGCTTTGAGGATCTCTGTTTCCAGTAGGATCTATGCACCTGCCAGTTTCTCATGCTATAAGAAAATCTTTAAGGAGAATTACAAAAGAAAACAGGAAATGGAGGCAAGTAGGAACCATCCCGGGAGTTTTTCCCTTTGATTATCCTATACAGGTTTAGTTTGAAGAAAAACAAAAGCAATCAACCTTCCAAAGAAATTAAAGACTGCTTACTTCACAATCTAACTAGAAGTAAACAGACTGACAAGCAGCAAAGAATGATGCTCTGCATTTGAAGAGCATTTTAACTTTTTAAAGTTCTTTAAAATACATGTAAATTGTACCATTTGATCTTAATAAAAACTTTGGAAAAGGGACAGGGAAAATACTTCCTAGAAGAAACCGACACAAGGGAGTCACAAGATTAGGTAGTGGCAGAATACAAGCCTTCTATTCCTGTTTTAGTGCTTCTTCCAGTAAACTGTACCCATCCTATTCAACTGGGCTTAATTATTCAATATAGGGGAAAAAAATGCTCAGATCTCTTTCATTACCAATAAAAGTCATAAATATCTGATAACATGTAGGTTCATAAAAATAGTTACTGACAAGTTGTTGTTCATGTTGGACAGCTCCTAAAAATTTACTTGGCAATTTAGACAGTTCAAAATGGTGTGGGAAACTCAGGAATGAGCAATCTTTTTTCTATCAAAAGCCACAATACTCGGGGAAAAGAGAGACATCAAGTGAAGAACTTAAGAAAAATTTAATGTGTGTGTTCGTGTATAAATGCACGTTTTGTAAAATAAGAGAAATAAACATACTAACATACTAACAAGGATCTTTTTTCCAATTTAATAAATGGACATTCACCCCATTTATTTGAACATGTTCCAACTTCAATGCAAGTACTGAGGAAGAATTCTCTATACACAATGAAAGAACACCCAACTTGTTGATTGTGAACAATAATAAGCAAATTTGAAATAACCCAAATTCTGCAATTTCTCTCCTAGCATCCTTAGCTCAACACTATATATTATTTCAGTCGAAGCACTCATTTTGACTCACCAAACATCAGGACAGGAATGAACCCAGGGAAGGCTTGAAGCCAGGGTCTGCTGAAAGATGCTATACCTAGGAAACGTCTTTCAACTCATCCAGTCCCACAAAGAACACTCAAGAATGTGCTGGGGTTACCTGTTCCAATTATTTGCTTCCGCTAAAAGCTGGCAAGCTGATCCAAAGTTCCTGGATCAGAGACAGGAGGGTGTCATCAGCAGAAAAGTCCTTGTAAGGATCTAAGAATCCTTACTTCTATTTGCAAGTGTGCTGTGTTGATTGCTGACGTTCCATATCCTTTGCTATTACAGAAACTTTACACTCTCAGACTGTCAGGAGACTGTCAGTGGCATCACTGTCCTGATATGACAACCAAGTCAACTATTCCTGACATCACTTCATATCACCAGAGTTTTGTCTTACTCATCTAGGTGCTCTCCCTAGAATGAGTGAAATTCAAAAAGATGCAGTCTCACTGACAACAAAATACCTAGCCTATATGGGCATGTTTGAAGAGAGGACAGAGACAGCTCACCATACCACCATTATGAAAGCCCCAGGAGCCCACAATGAGAGATGCAAGTTCATGTGAAACAAATACATTGTCTTTCTAGTACTTTCTCTCTAGGGTCACTTAGAAATGAAATTTGGAATAGAATTAACATTTGTGGATCGTCTATTCTGCATCATGCATTGTGCTAGCTACTTAAATCTCTCATTTAATCCTAATAGCCATTCAAGGTGCTTTTGTTATTGGTGCCTTTTCATACATGATTTTCACAAAGATGCTGAAGTGAAGTGAAGTCGCTCAGTCGTGTCCGACTCTTTGTGATCCCATGGACTGCAGCCGTCCGTGGGATTTTCCAGGCAAGAGTACTGGAATGGGCTGCCATTTCCTTCTCCAGATCACAGAGATGTCAGGTGACTTAATTTTAAAGTCTGAAAGCTACTACTTGAAAGAGGCAAAAATTAAACCCAAATCAGTACGTAAATCTTTATGACTTATTTCTTACAACTCTATTTGCTTTCCAAAGGAGTTATACTGACTTAAAATGATACCAGAACCAAAGATATTCCTACTTCATTTTTTTGGTGAGAGAACTGGGTAGCTTTAATACCAAACAGGGGCTACCATGCCTGGAACCAAATTCCTATATTAAACCAATACCCATTTTCATATACCCAATCTAACAGTCTATACCAAATCTCTCCTTACCAGTTAGACTTTGTGTAGTCAGTGGAAGAGCAGAAATGTTTTATTCAACCTCTACAATACGTTCAAGTATTTGGACTATACAAGTTGCCCTCTACATTTCAAAATCTATGAATAATAATCTGTCTACAAAATTTCCCAGACAGATTTATATTAGTTTACTTGGAAATACTAAACCTTTGAATTTTACTATAAAATGAAGATTCCAAAACATGTAGTATTCAATTTGCTGAAAGCACTGTAACAAAGGATTAAAGACTAAAATTAAAAAAAAACAAAACACTTTAGAGTCTATGTACTATGTAGCTACATTAATATTAGAATATGGGAAAATGGTAAAAGCTATCACTTTAAGAGAACTGACTCCAAAAGTACTGTGCCAAGTACTTTATAAATGCTTCATTTTGTACCTTCCAAAATGTTAACTCTATTTTACAAGCAAAGTGACAATGGTAGGAAAGTTCAAATAACTTGCCCAAAGTAATACAGCTAGAAAGTGGTAGCTGCTGCTGCAGTTTGTACAACTCCAAAGATTTTACCTCTTATTGTCACAGTTTACTGCCTCCTAATTCCTATCTGGTAAACATATCTTTATCCACAATTCTAAAAATATTATTGAAACACATACAAAATTATTTTTTAAAAAAATTATTTAAACCTATTATTAACTATATCCATTAATTTGTCATAGCTTCTAAAGTAAAACAATTTAAAAGTGCCTAAAGAATTATCATTAGAAAAATTCAAGTAAGGCAACAGATTTTCATGAAGTCCTGAGAGGTCAAGAACAGATAATTCACACAACAAAACCGTTATCACCGCTTGGGAGTTACTGTTCTTAAATTGATGTGAAGATAGTAAGACCCGGATACCATCTTAAGTATTTAAAACAATGTAAATACTGTAAACCCACCAGCCTAAAGGCTGAACCAAAGAACCCATTTTCAAAATCATGTTACCTTCAATATTTACTAAGTGAATTATGAATCTTATTATCATAGTCTGCTCTTTAAAGTCTTATTATCAAATAACAGAAAAGATGTAACCATAACTTGGACAATTTAAACTTCTGAAAGGCTATTACTTTCCCAGTTCCAATGTTTCAAATTTCTTCATAAAAGAATAATATCTGAAAACGAAGATGAGTCACATTACCGAAACATGAAATCTTCAATCTATCAGAGTCTGAAACTAAATACATAACTTTTTAATGTACAAGATGCAGTTAAAAATAACATATTAGTTTTTCCTGTTGTTTATCAGACACATTCATTAGACTGATTAAAAGGGCAATACAAGAAAAATTTTCTATGACATGCCAAATAATAGATGAAGTCTTACCTCCATTGCTAAAGCGGCCGTCTGTTGGTCATAATGATTCAGAAGATTGGGCATGAAGGTAGTATTATAAGGCAAATCTTGGCACATCCTCAAGGTAATAGGCTCACAAGAAAACAAACTGTGCCCACCTATATGGCCCACAAACATAGTCAAGGGCCACAGATAGAAGACGATCCAACTCATAGCCATGCTTCCTTGATTGAATGAGATTCAGATGATCAGGCCTACTCAATATGTATTTTAGATCTTTGTACACCTGCAGGTCTCAGCTTGAAAGTACTTCTTCTATCTTACTGTTAAGTTCTTCAAACAGAAATACTCTTTGCACCGTCAGAGGTTTGTTAGCTTGGTCTCACAAAAGGCATTTGTTTTGGTTTCACAATATGGGAAAATGACATCATCTTGCCTCTTCTTTTCATTTTATTACATCGGGCACCATTTGGCCAACGTGTCAAGTTGATCAACCACATTCCCAAACAACAGATTCCATCTTAGGAGAAGAGCTGTTTCTTCCTTTGATTGAAATATCTGAAAAATAATTTTTTAAAAAATGAGATAAATTAGCAATTTCCTCTTAAAATATTATAGGCTTGATATAAAAACTTTGATTAGCTCAGTAAAGCTGCAGGATACAAAATCAGTATACAAAAATCAGTTGTGTTTCTACACACTAACAATCAGCTACTAGGAAGAGAAATTTTAAAATACTGCCTTTGGGACTTTCTGGTGGTCCGGTGATTAAAACTGCACACATCCAGCGCTGGGGCACCGGTGCACTCCCTGGTGGAGAACTAAAATTCCAAATGCCGGGCGTGTGGCTAACAACAACAACAACCATGAACTTTGATGACAGATATAATACTGCCTTACAGGAACATACATGGGTATTTCATAAAAAAATACTATAGTTTTTCTACTTATCATTCTTGCTATAGATATACCAGAGAATCCATAAATAGCATTTAAAGGCACTATTTCCTCCCTCAGATGTTTATATAACATACAGTTTAATTTCCCACCTATAATGGTAGTTTTTCATTTGTCACAAGACATAATTGATCCATTTGGAAAAACTTGCATGCTGTTGTCCTAAATTTTATTTAAATATCTGCCACACTTAATAACAAGTTATTTAAATTTTATTGTATATGTTTTAATCATTAAATGATTCGGCAGATGGTATCTGAGAAAGGTGTAAAATATAAAAAAATCAAAAGATACGGATTCAAGCCTCTTCCCAACTATGTGAATCACTTAACTTCTCTGAGCTCAGAATTTTCCTTTCTAAAAATTGCACCTCCCTATCAAAGACAGCATATGAGTGAATTATAAAATAATGTACTCTATAAAAGGTAAAGCAACATCAAAATTTAGGTAGTTTTATTGCTGAATTACAGCAGATACAAAGATTTACTTCTATTAACCAATACTGAACTGGCAAACAGAAGATTCTAAAAGTAGTATCAGGACATTTTCTCAACAATGCTTCATCCTTTTAAATAGTACAAAAATTTAATACATAGATAGAGAAGATAGATAGACAGATAGATAGATAGATAGATGCACAGAGAAAACGTTTGACCAACAAATGCTTCATTACATACAATCAGGCTGCAGAGAAGAGTCAACCCTAGAAAGTTACAATGTGGGATATGAAAGATTTCCAGAGTTTCTATCAAGTTTCAGAGTCTGACTTGACACTGCCTTTCCTAGAGGCTTCCCTGGTGGCTGAGACGGTAAAGAATCTGCCTGCAATGCTGGAGACATGGGTTCGATCCTTGGGTTGGGAAGATTCCCTGGAGGAGGAAATGGCAATCCACTCCCCATTCTTGCCTGGAGAATTCCACAGACAGAGGAGCCTGGCAGGCTACAGTCCATGGGGTCCCAGAGAGTTGGATGCAACTTTCACTTTCACTTTTTTTCTAGGGACAAAAATATGCATCTCTTTGGGGGCTGGAAGGGTAGGTAGAGTGGAAGGCAGGAGTGGTAGGAAAAAAGCATATTCTAAAACTATCATACTTCCATTTGGTTTTGTGTTAAGTCTGCTTTTACTTTATTTTCATTTCATAGATGTCAAATATTTCTGTTTGAACTACACAAATTTGGTTGGGAAAACATGAGAAAGTCAGGTTCAGAAATTCTCAGAGACCCAGGTTAACAAGACACCTCAAATAGATGTTAGGGCCCATGACAGCTTAGACCTTGGGAACTTGAACTGGCTTGGCTAAAGCAGAAGAAACTGTCCTTTGTGCACTACCAATGACAGGAACCCCTGCATCCCAAGTTTTAATTACTGGGCAGAAAAAACTATTTGGAGAAAGTAAAGCCATGGCTGAACTTCCCAATTTCTCCCCCAAGCATATGGTCTTGAGTAGAAGAAGGCAAAAGGAAAGTCTACAACCTTAGGAATAACCAAAGTTACGAGCAACCTCTGCCCTAAGCGTCTAATCTCTCTAATACTGAAATCTGTAAATCAGAAATATTTGTTAAAGCTTCTTGGCCTGCCATATCTTTTTCCTCCTTCAAGCTGGGCCCAGAAATGTGATGTCTGGCTATGGAAAAGTGATATTAAACACAGTCATGTATATTTAAGCTTAATTACCATGCAGCACGGTAACAATTATGCATATCATTAAATGTGTCAAATAAGCCCTGAAAGCTTTATTTGGCTACAGTATCAAAACATCCATATAAGTTCCATTTTTGTAGTTTGCTGCTATGCAGCATGTTCATCTGCTTGCAACTTGAAAAAAAATCAAAGGGAACATTGCTCCCTACTGAATATGTATATAACAATGAGAATTTCAACAATTTCATTTAGGCTATTTTTCAAGCAGTATGGGTTCCAAATTTATGGTTCAAAGATTACCATACAAAACTTGAGGAAGAAACAAAGTAATATTGAGTTTTTTAAACTAGATGAGACACCCCCTTATACTTCTGTCTACTCTATTTTACTTGTTTTTCTCTCAGTTATTCCTTTTGCCTCATTTACAAACAATGCTTCTCACAGACTTACAAAAGTGCTTTCCTTTATGTACTTTGACATTCAAATTTCCATATATCAAAACATTTTTGTAAAATTATTATGTTAAGTTGGGGTAGAATAAAACCTTAATACATTAAGACTATAGTTTATCATTATTAAGATAAATAAAAAACAGTAGAATGCAATGAGACAAGAAGAAAAATAGGAATAGTAAAAATATTAAGGAACTTATATTTCTTTCAAATCAGAGGTTCCCTAATGTTAATGAGAAGCAGATTCATAGAAACCCCATAAGTCTAAGAAATCCAAACCTCTGGAAAATGAATGATATACATGTATTCTAACAATTATCTCGGTACTGTTACAAGTGATCTGTAAGTCATATTTTGAGAAATGCTATCCTAAAATAGAATAATTTAAAACAGTATAGGATATTTGCACATAATTATGTGCTTAGCAAAAGTAATATATAAAATGAATTTTTTAAAAAGCAGATAAAGAGTACTACTCTAATAGAAAAATGGCAAAAGGACATAAATTTACAAAAGAAACACAAATGGCCAACAAACATATGAAAAGATATTCAACTTTACTAATAAAAACATACAAACATGATATATAACATTTTTGCCAATCAGATGAGCAAAGTAAGAATAACAGAACACAGTATAGGAGAGGGTGCAGGAAAAGAATATATTCAACATTCCAACACTTGGAAAGACTTTTTTTTTTCCTTTTGCTGTCCCACACGGCTTGCAGAATCTTAGTTCCCCAAACAGGGACTGAACCCGGGCCAGGGCAGTGAAGTGTCTAACCACTAGACCACCAGGAAATTCTCCATTTTCAAACACTCCTGGAGGAAAAGCAAACTAACTGGTATTTCAAAAAAACAGCTATGGACATCAAAAGCCCTTAAAATGTATATAATTTGATCCAGCAAACCTATCTTACAATTTGTTCTAAGAAAGTAAGCACGAATACACATGCTGTGTGCCTGAAACGTTGGTACAACACTGTTTATGAAATAAAAACTCAGAGACAGTCTGAGAGTCTACCAACAGGAATTGGTTAAACTAGGGCACAACCAACACATAACACACTCAGTGAAAATGACGAGCAGGATCTGTATATACTGACTTGAGAAGACAGTAACAATAAAATAAGTGAAAAATAAAATTTTAAATGGTATACAAAACAGCATATAGTCTCCCACTTTTGTCAAAAATATACATACATGGAATAGAATAAAACTATATGAATTGTTTAAAAATACAATATTATAGGGGCTTCCCTGGCAACCCAGTGATTAGGACTCCACACTTCTACCTCAGGGAGCTCGAGTTTGATCCCTGGTCAGGGAATTAAGGTCCCACAAGCTGCACAGCGTAGTCAAAAAATGAAACAAAACAAAAAAATAGTAAGGTATTATAAATGCTGAAATGTTACTTTAAAATCTGTCATATGTTATTTGTGTATGGGAAAATTAAGTCTGCTAAATCTATAAATGTGTGCTGACAATAATACTAGTTGAATCAATGATTTACTGACTTGTTTAAGTAACAAGCCAAGGGACACAAAAATGCCCTACTACAGGTAGCAAGAGAAGTAAAAAAAATGGTGATAAACTTAGAATGGGTCAAAAATTGATTTTCAATACTGAAAAAAAATCAGATCACCTCTCAGGTGAATCAAATATTACGCAGTTAAAAAAAACACTTTTGATATATATTCTAAATTGCTTTTCAATAACATAATGAAATAAATGCTTCTAATCAGGATCACGTGAGTATAGATAGAAAGCCATTTTTCCTAAGAGAACCATCCTTAAAGAAGCTGTAAGTTTCAGACAGCAGGACACAGAAAAGGTTGAGGAAACCAAGAAATACTGACAAAATACAGCAACTGATTACATAAAGGTTAAAAGTTTTTTTTTGCATTTTTTTTTATATTATATCTTTTACTATAGGAATCTGCAGAATCTCAGCTGAATAAAGGGAATTGCTGGATTAACTGGAGGGAACAGTCTCAGGCACCAAGGACCAGTAAAAAATGAGGGGTCTGGCAACAGCTTTTCATGCCCTAACCCTGAGAAAAGAGACATTCACTTCTTTACAGAACAATATAAGATATGTGGAAAACTAATTTCAGATTAAGTGACCTGATGGTTATTTCCTCAGAAAACAAAAAGACTAGATACATTTAACCCTACACTTTAATTTTTATCAATGTGTGACATCAGGAATCTGATATTGCCCAATTTACCAGTTCTCTTTTGATGATAAAAAGTAAAAGGCCCTAAAGTAAGTTGAGTATTTGTCCTGAAGAACAGCAATAAAGGGGATGCAATCTTGGAAGACTGTCTTCAGAGGCTGGCTACAGACCCAAAGAACTCAGGTGGGAAAAGCAGGAGATGGCAACTGTGAAGAGGAAAGAAAGCAGGCTGAATCCCAGAAGAGACAATGACAAAAGTGGGCCCTGGGGCTTGTCAGCAGGGCCCTGCAACAAAAGATGTTAGCAATTCTATTCCAACTCACACTTTCTGTACAGAAAGTGATTCCTTTCATCTTTCTCAGCTTAGATTTACTTATCTTGACACACTATAAATGTACATAACATTTTGCGTTTCCAATTCAGAAACTGAAGGTTACCTGAAACACACTGGCTACAATGGGAACTGGAGGATATTCTTTTGTCTTCTTTCAGAGTTTTCCAAGACTGCGTTATAAAGATTACTACCTCTGAAGCTTCTTCTCTCAAGGCAATTATCGTCTTGTTAGAGAGCAAAGTACACACTGAGAGCATATCACTGCTCAAAGTGCTAGATTCCTCTTCCTGAAACTCCTGTGGGTTTTCGCCTTTTGCTTTCCATATCTTATTTAAAAAATAAATTCATTCTCAGGATACTGTTTTCTGGTTGCGAAAGATTATATAGCTCCATATTTAATTTATAGGGCCTAGATTCTTACTAATCTCAAGTTATCACTTTGCTACTTTATCTAATTTTTAAAGTCTGTCTAGTCATCTACTGATTACAAAAGATAATCTAATCTTCCAGTGTGCTGAGTGATGGGGCTTAAAAAAATACAGGAAAAACAAAGTTTAAAATTAAAATGAATAGTAGGCATCAAAATCCAGTCCATCTTACAAATTATACATTACTTTTAAGACTAGAGAAAGCAGAAGATTTTTTAAAAGTAAAAACAAAACTGAAAAGTTAAAAGATTGCCAGAGTCTGGACTTAAAAAAAGAAAGTCAGGTTGAAATTCTAGCCTGGTTTCCCTTTTCCATTAAAATGTGTTCAGAAAATACTCTAATATCAAGCTCCTGATTTTTTTTCCCCTTTAGCATGGTTGCATGTTTTGACTATAAAATTGGTTTAATGAGATAAACTTTGGGGACCAGGATTTTTTTTTAGGCCTACTAGCCTAGTTGTTTTTTCTTAAACTTCATTCACAGTGCATTCCTTGGATCCACCAAAACTATTGCTAGTTCTCAGCATAACAAATTGTAACTCAAAGATAGATTCATCATTTAACAGTCAGTTAACACTGTTTTCTAGTCAAAGAGGAGTTGTAACTCTTCAAACATTCATTCCTAACCTTCTGGAAATGCTACTATTAAAAACCTTCACTTCTTTCCTCAAGATGCTGTGACCCTTCTTCTCCCAAATCTATACTGAACAATTCCTCATACATATTTCAAAGTCTTGATTTTCATTTGCACTACTGCTCTTTTTGCAGGCAGCTGCAGCTTTAAACGTCTCTAATTCTACAGATTTAGGGGTTAAAAGACACTTGAGGCCAACACTGCTCTTCCCTGTGAAAGAAGGTAAAGATGCAGTAAGAACTGTTTCCTACCACATGCCTCCTGAAGAAAAGAAAGTCAACAGCAGTCTAACATCAACAAACTAACATGCTCAGAATAAGTTTTCAGTATGAAATCTCATAGTTTTACTAACACATATGAAATTTAGGTTGAGGAAAGATTTTTTTTTCCTGTCAAGTGGGCAACAGAGGACTTACCATGACTTTAAAACCCCCTCTTTTTGCCCAATGATGACGCTCTCACAACATTGTGCTATACAAAGAAGGTGCACTTTACTATTATCTTCACCTCAAGCCTCCCTACTTCAAATATCTCAATCATGGCTGAGGATCTCTCTAGAAAAATCCACCTAAATGTTCAAAGCACAAAATAAAGCTCAGAGGAACACAGTACCTAAGATGAAAAAAGGAATGAAAGAACCTGTAGTCCTTTCTTCTTCTATTAATAGGGCACTGGTAGATTTAGGAGAGATGTAGAGGCAAGGAATATTAGTGGATGAGAAAAAAAAAAAAACCGGAGGAGGAGGAAAGAGAAGGTAGGACGGTAGGCTTTACTAATTACCTTATTTTCCTGACAGTTTCAAAGCACTTGGGGGGAGGGGGATAGAGGAGGAACCTGTTATTTCACTAAATAAAAGGCAACACTGTAAGAAGAATCGCATCTCAATTATCTTTTATTTTCAGCTCTATCCTTGCAAGCCTGCCCACTTAAGCTTTTACATCACTTTCCTATCTTATTACCTCTATGCTGTGGTTTGGTACTTCAAGCAAACACTTTTTTTTTTTTCTTCTTCTTCTGGAGGAAAAAGATGGTATTGATTTGCTTAAAAGTACGGATGAGGGGGGAAAAAAAAAAGTACCGATGGAAAGCATTATCTTGAGGAGTAAATGGTTCTTAATAACCTAACTACGGATTTATCTATTCCTTTGACTGTCAACACATCACTAAAGGCTAAAAGAAGGCTCAAGTGGAAGGTAACATCCCCCAGGGTCAAGTCTTTGTCTCCTGGCTCCTGCGGTATTGGCTTTGCCAAGTAACCCAATTCCCGTAAATAAACATTACAGGTCTCTCCAAACTACTTCTATAAAATAAGATCTTGTTTGACCAACCTTATAGAGCAGTCATTTATTTCTATAGCTGCTGGTCTGCTCTGCTGCTCTGTCTACATTCAGAAGGGAACCAAAATTCAAAATTTCATTTATTCTGGGCCAAAAACCAGACCTTTTTTCCTCCTTCCCAGATATTTTGCAACTTCAAGTCGACTCCTCTGCCTGTATTAGTGGCACATGGTTTTGTTCTTTTAAAAAAGAAAGAAAGAAGGAAAAAGACTCTTTTTTCTCTTATTGAGGAAGGCACCTAGCTCTGAAAAAGGCCTCTAGGAAGATGCGAAAATGTCTTGAAATGTTTAACAGCACCTTATTTCAGAGGCTATGGATGAACCTCCCCGCGGTACGCCAGTGCAAACTCACGGAGCGTCCAAGGGGGCAGAGGGGGAAGCCTCGAGGAGGAATATGCAGACTTTGCAAAACTGATGGGAGGGAGGAAAGGGGACAACTTTTAGGACTAGAAACAGGAGGCAGTCCAGATGCTGCGACGACGCCCGAGCCCGGGAAGCCCCGACGCGGGTCCCGGCGGCCCCCCGCGCCCCCGCACCCAGCCCTGTCCGTATTGTCCTCCCAGCCAGCGGCCGCGTCCTCCACCCACAGCCCCCAGCGGCCCGGGAGCGCCACACGCCCCCGCGGCGCCGACCGAGCCCCAGGGCTGGGCCGGGGGCGGCGCGGAGGGAGCGCGGGCCACACTCGAACAGGTTGCTCGGCGCGGGCTCGGGACCGAGAGGGTTAATCCAGTCGGCGGGCATCGGTCTGNCTCCCATCTTGAGCCCAGCTTCTGGATACCCGTCCGCAGGTTTCGTTGTTCTTTACCTCTAGCCGAGGCTGATGCCTGGCCCTGTCCTGCCCTCGCGGAGTCGTTCCAAGCTCTGGAAGCTTTTCTTAAACGCCCTCAGTCCCCTTTGCAAAGCTCTCCTTCCCTTCTCTGCTGAGACAGTGCTGCGACTCTCATCATTCAAGCCTGGAACGCTATTATTGCAAGACTACCAAAACCTGTTTCGAGAACCAGCGTGCCCCCTGGGGACCCGGGGATTGGAGTTGGTTAAGAGGCGGGTGCTGAGGGTGGTACTGGGTGCAGATGGAGGTAGTCAACTTTAATATTGCAGAGCTCCAAGCTGAAGCAGCAGAGCAGATACCCTCTTTACCAACACCCACTTTAGTGAGCAGGTGGGGCTTGAGGTTATTGGTGGCATTCCCCATCTTCTGTTCTTTGGGAAATGTTTCTTCTCTCTTTTTCTTCATAAGTCATTTTATTTTTTTCTACATAAGCAATTTCAGAACTTAAAGATTCCTTAGAAATCATCTAAACCTAACCTCTCATTATTCAGACAGCGGAAAAGAACGGCCCAGAAAGGTTAAAAAGACTTACCCAAAGCCAGGCAGCATTTTAAGGGCTGAGTCTGGATTCATTCATTCCAAGCCAAAGCTGATACTTCTGCCTCCATCATTTTACCTACCTTTCTTTCTCTTCCTTTTCCTCCCCTTTCAACCTAAATTTCACAGGCATCATTTTGTTCTCTGGTAGCACAAAGGACTTAAATACTTTGAACTTGTAGCATAGTATGACTGTACTTGACGTTATTCAACTGTACACTTGGTTAAGATGGTGTATTTGAATATAATCTTCTGTCTGAATCTTTGCCACCCCATGTTAGGAGACTGACCAAAAACAGCTATATAATCTGTGGTTTGTCCAAATCCTTAGGACACATCTCTGTGGCATCTTTAATTATAGGCAACTATTTTATACAAAGAAAAGTGGACGTGTTAGTCCCTCAGTCCTGTCCGACTCTTTGCGATGCAGTAGACTGTAGCCCACCAGGCTTCTCTGTTCATGGACTTCTCCAGGCAAGAATACTGGAGTGGGTTGCCATTCCTTCTCCAGAGGACCTTCCCGACCCAGGGATGGAACCTAGGTCTCCTGCATCGCAGGCAGATTCTTTACTGTTTGAGCCACCAGCGAAACAATCTTTTTTAAAGGTGCAAATACTGAGCTTAGACACTCATAAATATAGTTTAACATCAGAAGATGCGCTATGGGAAATGCATCATAAAAGAGATCTGAAATGACATTTTCAATTTCATTAATAAATACTAATGCAGTAATACTTTTTTTTTTTTTTTTTAGTAACATTGATCCTTAGACTGATTCTTATCAAGTTGTTGTGTCCTGTGGAGCCAACATTGCCTCTACTGAGGGTGAGTGAAACAGCTAAGAGCATTTATGAAAATCAGTGTGGACCTGCTTCAGGTACTTCTAGATCCCTTGTACCTTCAGATCCTCTAGAGATGTGCTGCTCTCACATTTTTATGCAATTTACACATGGTCTGTGAAAACTGTCAGGCATAGAACATATCTTGGCTCCTAGTGGGAGGTGGGAATGATGTAGAAATTATCATTGAATGTATCAACATGATCACATCTCAGAAATAGACCACTGAGTGAAAGAAGCGAACCACAAAGTATGTAAATCATGATAGCTGTTTAAAACAGTCACACTGTTTATGGGGCCAAACATGTATATATAATAAGCATAAAAAGTGGACAAGTGGGCAGCACACTAATTTCATGACAGTGAATGCCTCTAGGCAGGCAGGGTGCAAAATGAGATCTGGGCAGCGTGTAAAAGGGGCTTCAACTGTTAATCACACACACGAAGCAAAATGTTAACATTTTAAAAAATCTCTGCAGGGAGAAAAGCGTGTTTCTTAGGCAAGTCTGTAAACTTTTCTTTATGATTGACATGTTTCCTTTAAAAATAATGTTGAGGGACTTCCCTGGTGGTCCAGTAACTAAGATTCCACCCTCCCAAAGCAGAGGACCTAGGTTTAATCCCTGGTCTGGGAACTAGTGAAAGACAGGAAGTCTGGCGTGCTGTAGTTCATGGGGTTGCAGAGTCAAACACGACTTAGTGACTGACGAACAGCTGGGAACTAGATCCCATATACTGCAACTAAAGATCAAAGAAAGATCCTGTGTGCTGCAACTAAGATCCAGTGCAGCCAAATAAGTAAATATTTTTAAAAGGAATTTTTAAAAATTTTTAAATAAAAGCAATGTTAAATTTTCAAGTACACTGAGCCAATGTGCTCACTGTGAACACAATGTGAATGGTGTTGTTCAGACTTGGGGGATCGGCAGTCAGACTGATCAAGGGCTGAACAAGGGGAGGTCCAGAGGATGCTAGTTGAGAGGATCAATGAAAGGGACCTTATTTTCAGGGATAAAAATATTCAGCTCTAACAGGGATAAAGTGTCAGGCTTTAATCCCATCTTTCTTTCATTCAATGTTATAACCACCAATAGAAAGTCTTTAATGAGCAGGAACTTCACGGAGATCCAACACTCCCCCAGCGAGTTGTTAAAACTGGTCTCTTTCTGGATGAACCCGTTTTGAAACCATCAATGTTAACTGGTAATACATGATAATTTAGTATTGCATCTACTTACCTCCCCCAGGCCTCCACCCCTGCAAAAGTCTTTGTTTATTCATTTTACATACAGCCTGATCATAAAACATACAACCATACATAAAACCACTAGGCTGGAATTCATACAACATAAGTTCTAATTGAAATTTGGCCACTTATTGATCCTTTGTCAACTCTAAAGAAAGCAGCAACCTCCATGAGCTTTACTTTTCATTTTCTTTTTAAATAGGAGATAGAGGAATGCTGCCTATTTCAAAACAATGAAACAATATAAACATAGGGTTTACATTTATTTACCTTGTAAGAGTACATTTTTATTTATTTTAGGAAACATGAGATAATGAGAAGAGTCTTCGTTTTTTAAATTTGGTTAGCTGCTGCCCATAAGGACTGCTTTACACTTCCCAGATGTCCCTTCTGAAATGTTGTTTTTCTCCAGCATTAGTTTATAGTTCTATCACAGTAGTTATTTCTACATTGCATTTTCAAATCCTCCTCATTAGATTTCTTTTTTTATCTTGCATTCTCACTCTGCCTCTCATTACATGGTAGATGCTCCATAAATTTAATTAATTAAATTAGACCAGATCGTAAACTTTCCCAAATTTGGAGTTATCCTTATTCAGGCATGCCATCTGCTGGTTCCCTGGTGTATCTGTTAGTTGGCCTTAATTCCTTAATCCAATAAATTAAAATTCATGTTGAAGCGCTGCTGAGTTTGTGTGTTGGGCAATTTTCCCACGTCCTTCCACTTCCTGTGTGCAGGTGCTATTCTTTCATTGAACCTCTCCAGAATTGTTTTTCCTGCAACCTTCTTTTACCTGTTGGCCACTCTAAAAACCCGGAGAAACGGAGTTTCCGTTTCAGAACCCTGGAGTGACCAGAACGATGTAACTGGGCATGCTCAGTAGGTTGGCCTGATTTGGAACATACTTCTGGCTTGAATGGGGGCATTTAATGCTGTTTGTTTCAGGATTGGCTGCATCTTCGTCCTAGCATTATATTGAGAGATGGCAGCCTTTCCCACCCTCTGGGCGCTCACACTTTTCCATTTTGTCCGTGTGCCCAATTTTGGAGCCAGCCCTCTAGGATCTCCCGGCCAATCAAGAGACCACACATTGTTGCCTAAGAGACCCCGGATGCCAGCGAAAAGATTTATAGGTAGTGATTGGCCTACTGGAAGGGGGTGCTAGACGGTGTCACAGAAACAGGAGCTATGGCAACGCCAGCGCTAGAGGCTTGAGGAGAAAGACCTGGAGAGAAAGAAAGACTTAAAGAGGTGAGACCAGTGATCACTGCATGAAAAAGATGGAGACTCTTTTGAGAGCTCTTCTCTCAGATCCTCCTGGGCTCCTCACAAGCCTTGGCAGTGACCCCGGGAGTTACATTTTGCTCTGTGTTAGCAGTTAAATTACCAGATGCATCATATATATGAAATTAACAACCAACAAATAATTATTTCTGTGCCTTTCAAAGCACTAGCTCTTTGCGTTGTCTTATAGTTTCTCTTTGTTTCCACCTAGTTGAATATAAGATGAATTCATATTTAAATCTAACCGTACCCTATTTCCCGATCATTTCCTTGTAAGCTCTTATTTCCTTCTCTGATGATACTGTAGTGTGCATTGGGTGAGCTGTGTGTTAGTGGAGAAGCTCAACCTTGTTCTGCTCTGTAAATGCCAAATAAAAAACCGATTATCCTGAGTCTAACCCCAATGCTCAGTTCCTAATGTTGAGTTTTACCTTCTTTGCCACTAGCTTTAATCCTTAAACCACCTCACCTCCACTATTGTGTTCATTCATTCAGCTGATTTAGACAAGTGTTTATTGAGCTCCTACTGTGTACTACTGAGATTAGGATTCAGGTGAGCACATTAAGAAAACCACAGTAGCAAAGAAGCACCAGTTTTGTACCACATTCTCTGATCTGAAGTTCAGTCTGTCTGTACAGATAGTGCATGAAGGGAGAGAAAGGAGGAAGAACTGAAAAGGTAAATTCATGGTGTACCTAGATTAGCATGCTAAGGATTCTGTAGCCATTATCGAGTCTCTGAAGGTTTTCAAGCTGAAAAATGACTAACAGACCTTTTAAAAAACACTTCCCCGAGTAGAGTAGTGGTTAGCCAAAGCTGGGGAGTAGGGAAATGTGGAGATATTGATCAGAGGGTACAAATGTTCAGTTGTAAAATGAATAAGTTCTAGAGGCATTATGTACTGCATAGTGACTTTGTGGTGATGGTGGTAGTAGTTTAGTTGCTAAGTTGTGTCCCATTCTTGCAACCCCATGGACTGTAGCCCACCAGGTTCCTCTGTGGGTTGCTATTTCCTTCTTCAGGGGATCTTCCTGTCCAGGGATCATGGTGACTATAGTTAATAATAATGTATACTTGAAATTTTCTAGAAGAGTAGATCTCAAGGGTAATCACACACAGATGTGCACACATACACACACACACAGTAACTATGGGAGGTGATGGATATGTTACATAGTTTGATTGTGGTAAGCATTCCACAATGTATACATGTATTAAAACATCACCTTAAATATATACATTTTTATTTGTTAAAAAAAAACCCTCTTGCAGTAGACTGCAATGTACATTATAGTCAAGACTTGTCTTTATACCTCTAATACAGACCTAATAAGTCTTTAGTGAAGTTGTGTAGTGGTGAGAGTGTGAAGAATGCTTTGAAGATGGGATTGGAGGTATGTAACCACTGGAACTTTACCAGAGGACCTATCCTTGCCTTTAAACATGACACTAGAAGCACACACTGGGGGTAAAGGCAATAAGCCCTTTTTCTTCCCCTTTATCCAAAGAAAAATTAAAGGTGAACATGCAAGGACAGCCATTAACGGGGAAAGAGGTCATGAAAAAACAACAGCAAGCTTTGTATGTAGAAAGAGGGAAGGCAATTTGCTTTGTCTTGTTATTTTTTTGTATGTTATATGAAAGTGGTCTGTACTGTGAACCAGTGTGGGCATGCAGATATGCACACTGCCCGTCTTCTAGAATGGACGGAGGAAAAAACTGTAAAAGGATAATGACAAAAACCAGGGCAGGATACCTCCATTTGCCTGCTTCAGTAAGACTATTACCAAGAGGGCTCTTTTTTCTCAGACAGGCCCATCTCCTGAAAACCAAACTTTATTCAAGTTGATTTGAAAAACACCTAATTCAAATAATTTCTAGCTCTGAAGAACCAGGAAGAAAAAAAAAAAAACAATGCAAAACCTTGGGGAGGCCCTGGAAAAGCTACTTTGTCCTAATCAGAAATCGCGCTTAGAGTCAGTCAGATTGTTTTCTACTCAAACTGGGAAAAGAGAGTTTCTCAGCTTACAACAGAAGTTTTTAACCTGGTATAAGCAAAATGTAATGTTAATATGCATTTTTATAGGGAAAAGATTAATAGTTTTCATCATATCCTCAAAGAGTTTTATGGCCCTGAAGAAAAAAAAAGATTAAAAACAATTGGTTTAAGGAATTCCCTGGCAGTCCAGTGGCTAGGACTCTGTACTTTCATTGCCGAGGACCAGGGTCAATCCCTGGTTGGGGGCTAATTTCTGCAAGCCGAGTGACTCGGCCTAAATAGATAAATAAAATTAAAAAAAAAAACCACACACACACACAAAACTTCAATCAGTTTAAATAGAATAAAGATCAAACATGAATAAATAGCAATAAAAAAGGAAATATGTGATTTTTAACTGAAGAGATATAGACTCAGTGACCGTGCTTTGTATATTTGCCTGCTCATGTGTATTTTTATAGCAGCCAATTAATAATACTGGAATGAAATCATTTCTTACACCTTTGCAACTTAGCTGTTAGGAGCTAAGAATGTGAAGGCTCATCTGAACCTCCTTAATTCGCCCTTATTCCAGTGGAGTGGTATCAGCAGGCAACTGCAGGAAGATATTATCTATGGTTTAAAACCCTGAGGTTAAAAAAAAAATAAAAATAAAAAAAATAAAACCCTGAGGTTTTAAAATATTCGCTTTATCTTCAGTTGATTTAAACCCGAGAGGGAATATTACATGTCAAGTGAGAGTCACAAAATTTCAGATCTAGCATTTGGGGGAATCCTCTGTAAGTCAAAAACTAATGGTTTTTTAATTTAAAAAATATTTACTCTTATTTATTTATTTGGCTGTGCCAGGTCTTAGTTGTGTCGTGTGGGATCAAAAGATTGTCCAAGTGAATTCTCTGGTGGTCCTGGGGATCTGGGTTCTGTCCCTGGTCAGGGAATTAGATCCCACATGCCCTAACCTGGCTCAGCCAGATAAATAAAAATAAATATGTTTTAAAAGTTGTCTTATATTGGCTGCCATAATTTTTGGAGCCCTGGGTCAGGCAGGGAAATCCTGTAAGTCCCCAATTCAGCACCACTGCCTTGGATATGAAACATACCTTCAGAGAGGAAGAAGGCACAAACAGAAACACTGAGGATATATACTGAAAATGCCATCAATCTGCTTTAAATATTTTTTACCTTAAAATATTCTGTTGTGCCCCCTTCAAGGACAGGCTTTGAAGAACTCTGTAAATAACAGGAAGTTCTAAGAAAGTGATGATGATGATGCTATTTATTTTATTTTTTTAAACTTTTTATTTTGTATTGAAGTATAACCAATTAACAGTGTTGTGGTAGTTTCACATGAACAATGAAGGGTCTCACCCATATATATATACATGTATCCATTCTCCCCCAGACTCCCCTCCCAGCCAGGCTGCCATTGAGCACAGTTCCCTGTGCTGAATCGTGGGTCCTTGTTGGTTATCCATTTTAAATATAGCAGTGTGTACCTGTCTAAGTCCGTCCTAAAGGAGATCAGTCCTGAATATTCATCGGAAGGACTGATGCTGAAGCTGAAGCTCCAAAACTTTAGCCACTTGATGTGAAGAGCCGACACATTAGAAAAGACTCTGATGCTGGGAAAGACTGAAGGCAGGAGGAGAAAGGTATGGCAGAGGATGAGATGGTTGGATGGCATCACTGACTCAATGAACATGAGTTTGAGTAAGCTCCGGGAGTTGGTGATGGATAGGGAGGCCTGGCGTGCTGCAGTCCATGGGGCTGCAGGGTCGGGCACGACTGAGCGACTACCTGCAAAAAGGTACAAAGCTAGTAAGTTTTAGAGCCAGGATCCACACTGTGTGATATAAAAAGTTTTGGTTGCAAACAATAGAAAAATAGATTCTAGCTAATGTGTGCATGCTCTGTGCTTAGTCGCTCAGTTGTGTCAGACTCTTTGTAGCCCACCAGGCTTCTCTGTCCATGGGGATTCTCCAGGCAAGAATACTGGAGTGGGTTGCCATGCCCTCCTCCAGGGAATCTTCCCAACCCGGGGATTGAATCCAGATCTCCTGCATTGCAGGCAGATTCCTTACCATCTGAACCACCAGGGAAGCCCCTATAAGAAGAGTCTTCTAGCTAATGTAGGTGAAATTTATTGCAGGGCTATCAGGTGGCTCACAAAATGGATAAGAAAGGACATGTGTGCATGCTAAGTTGCTTTAGTTGTGTCTGATTCTTTGTGACCCTGTGGACTATAGCCCACCAGGGTCCTCTGTCCAAGGGATTCTCCAGGCAAGAATACTGGAGTGGGCTGCCATGGCCTCCTCCCGGGGACCTTCCTGACCCAGGGATCAAACCTGCATCTGTTATGTCTCCAGCATTGGCAGGCGGGTTCTTTACCACTAGTGCCACCTAGGAAGCCCCTACAAGAACAGCTTAAGAGTCTACTCAGAGCATCTATGGTACTTTGAATGATCACCTTGGCTGTTAAGCAAGGATAAGCCAGCATCAGTTACCTGGCCTAGCTTAGTCTCATAACTGGGCAAGGGGAGGCCACTTTGATTAACCAACCCAGCAGACCCTAAACCCTGAGGGAAAAGTAATCCCTCATGGAAATTGGAGTGCTTTAATCCAATGAAGGCAGACATAGGGACTTCCCTGGCTGTCCAGTGGTTAGAATTGGATCATAAAGAAGGTTGAGCACTGAATTGTGGTACTGGAGAAGACCTTTGAGACTCCCTTGGACAGCAAGGAGATCAAATGAGTCCATCCTAAAGGAAATCAACCCTGAATATTCATTGGAAGGACTGATGCTACAGATGAAACTCCAATACTTTGGCCACCTGATGTGAAGAGCTGACTCCTTGGAAAAGACCCTGATGCTGGGAAAGACTGAGGGCAAGAGAAGGGAGGCAACAGAGGATGAGATGGTTGGACGGCATCACCAACTCAATGAACATGAGTTTGAGCAAACTCTGGGAGATAGTGAAGGACAGTGAAGCCTGGTGTTCTTCAGTCCATGGAGTTGCAAAGAGTTGGACACAACTTAGTGACTGAACAACAACAGTCAAGACTCAACGTTTCAAGAACTAAACAGACATTTCTCCAAGGAAGACATACAGATGGCAAAAAAACACACGAAAAGATGTTCACCATCACTCATTATCAGAGAAATGCAAATCAAAACCACAATGAGGTACCATTACACGCCAGTCNCTGCATCTATTATGTCTCCAGCATTGGCAGGCGGGTTCTTTACCACTAGTGCCACCTAGGAAGCCCCTACAAGAACAGCTTAAGAGTCTACTCAGAGCATCTATGGTACTTTGAATGATCACCTTGGCTGTTAAGCAAGGATAAGCCAGCATCAGTTACCTGGCCTAGCTTAGTCTCATAACTGGGCAAGGGGAGGCCACTTTGATTAACCAACCCAGCAGACCCTAAACCCTGAGGGAAAAGTAATCCCTCATGGAAATTGGAGTGCTTTGATCCAATGAAGGCAGACATAGGGACTTCCCTGGCTATGCAATGGTTAGAATTGGATCATAAAGAAGGTTGAGCACTGAATTGTGGTACTGGAGAAGACCTTTGAGACTTCCTTGGACAGCAAGGAGATCAAATGAATCCATCCTAAAGGAAATCAACCCTGAATATTCATTGGAAGGACTGATGCTACAGCTGAAACTCCGATACTTTGGCCACCTGATGTGAAGAGCTGACTCCTTGGAAAAGACCCTGATGCTGGGAAAGATTGAGGGCAAGAGGAGAAGGGAGGCAACAGAGGATGAGATGGTTGGACGGCATCACCCACTCAATGAACATGAGTTTGAGCAAACTCTGGGAGATAGTGAAGGACAGGGAAGCCTGGTGTTCTTCAGCCCATGGAGTTGCAAAGAGTTGGACACAGCTTAGTGACTGAACAATAACAGTCATGGTTAAGACTCAACGTTTCCAATACAAGGGATGTGAGTTCCATCTCTGGTTGGGGAACTAAGATCCCACATGCCGTGAGGCCACAAAAATGAGGGCAGACATATACAGTCCTGGGCATCTAAAACCAGTGTATTTTCCCCAATAAACCCAAATCTGTCCATATGTAAATCCTTGGCCTTGTCCATTGTACCATTCTACTTCTTAAATATGGTAGCAAGCTAGAGCCATTGTTAACTAGATGTCAGAAAGTTAAGAGAGGAAGAAGGAGGTCACAAGGGACAAAGATGGAGTAGTTCAGATTGCAGTGTGATTTTATAAATATTTCTTTCTGACCAATATGGTATATTCTTAGCTAAGAGTGATTCTGCTTTTTCCCCCTTGGTCCAGTGAAAATCAAACAGAGTTAAACAGACCTGTATCTGATTCCCTGTTTCACCACCTACTGTCTGTATAACTCTGGGCAAAGCATGTAACTTTAGTGAGCCTCATTTTCTTCATCTGTAAAATAAGCTAAAACCCACCACCTTACCATATTGTTATGGGTTTTAATTGAGAAAACCTGTTAAGTGCCTGACATATAAAATGCTCCCAGTAAATGTTGCTCTCCCCCTAGTCCCTGTCCCAGTGTACTAAAAAAGATTATATGGTATTAGTATTTTTAGTATTCTGAAGATTGTGTGATTGATTTCTTCTGCAGGTGTAGTTTTTCTTACAGAAGAATATCCACTTATTTCATGATGGCATTTGCACCCCCAAAAAACACAGATGGTCCCAAAATGCAGACAAAGATGAGTACCTGGACACCCCTAAACCATCAGCTTTTGAATGACCGGGTGAGTAATAAGAACTATTTTATTAGTTGAAATCATGCTTTAAAAGAACATAAAAGCATTAAAATTTTGGTAATCAAAACATGAAGAGGAATTGCTTAGGATTGTGTAGTGGATTAAAGAAAAACAAAATGAAGGATTTCTTCAAAAATTTTAATTGAATAAATTTAGAACAAAAAGAAAGAAAACTTTAATTGAGCCCCAGTTACATGGCCAGAGTTGGCAAGAGATACAGTGTTCCTGCTTAGAAAGAAAGATCTTAGGGACTTCCCTGGTGATCCAGTGGCTAAGACTCTCTGCTTCCAGGGCTGGGGCCCGGGTTCAATCACTGGCCAGGGAATTCAGTCCCACATACTGTAACTAAAGACCTTGTGTGCTGCAACTGAGACCCAGGGCAGCCAAATAAATATTTTTTAAAAGATTTAGGAGATGAGAAGGCCAGGAGGAGTGTCTACCAGCTCCCCTTCACCTCTGTATCCAACTGGTGTTCAGGTTCTGAGTCTTCCTCCTAGGTCTCTTCATCCAGACCCCTCTTCTCCTTTGACTTGCGCACATCCAGCTCCACGTTCTCAGTTCACACACTCACCCCCCTTCGCCTGGCACATTGCAGTAACCCCTCAGCTGGTTTCACTGTCTCTAATCCATCCTCTATTCTGGTTCCAGAATGATCTTTCTAAAATACCAAACTAATCCTATGAAGCAAAACCGATAACAGACTGCTCCAAAGAATAAATTCCACCCTACCTGCCATGCATAGCAGTGAGGACCCTTCATGTGTGTTAGTCACTGAGTCATGTCCGACTCTTGAAGATCCCATGGACTATAGCCGGCCAGGCTCCTCTGTCCATGGGATTCTCCAGGCAAGAATACTGGAGTAGGTTGCATGACGTCCTCTAAGGGATCTTCATGACCCACAGATCGACCCCAGTGTCCTTTATATAACCTGCATTAGCAGGTGAGTTTTCTTTTTTAATTTATTTGGCTGCAATTTTTGTTGAAGCATGTGAACTCTTAGTTGCAGCATGTGGGATCTAGTTCCCAGACCAGAAATCAAACCCAGGCCCCCTGCATTGGAAGCATGGAGTCTTAGCCCCTGGACCACCAGGAAGTCCCAGTAGGTGAGTTCTTTAACACTGGCGCCACCTGGGAAACCTGAATAGCTTTTGTCAAATTTTATGAGAATTTCTAGGGAATTCCCTGGTGGTCCAGTGGTTCAGAGTCTGTGCTCCCAATAGAGGGGGCCTGGGTTCCATCTGTGTTCAGGAAACTAGATCCCACATGCTGCAGGAGTTTGCATGCTGCAACTAAAGAACCCACATGGCACAACTAAGACCCAGTGCAGTCAAATAAATAAAAATGTTTAAAAATTTCATATGAGCAATGATAAGAGAAATAACAATTTCTATTAGAAATGATATTTATTTTGTTGTTCAGAACTCACATTTTATTCCCTCCCTCATTTTTATTTTGGTTTAGTTAGGTTCTAGTTTGGAGTAAAAGTATTTTCAAAAATCTTAGCCTACCATATGTAAAATAAATAGCCAATGGGAATTTGCTGTGTGGCTCAGGAAACTCAAACAGGGGCTCTGTATCAACCTAGAGGGGTGGGATGGGGAGGGAGATGGGAGGAAGGTTCAAATGGGAGGTAACATATATATACCTATGGCTGATTCATGTTGAGATTTGACAGAAAACAACAAAATTCTGTAAAGCAAAATCCTTCAATAAAAAAAATTCAAATTTAAAAAACTATCAGATCACTATGTTGTAACTTGGAACTAAAACTATATGTCAATTATAATTCATTAAAAATTAAATACAATACAAAAAAAAATCTTGGCCCGTGTATATACCTGTATGTATGTGAATGAATGTATCAATACTTAGACATACACGTGGAATTTGCATATGTATACAGCAAACTGTTAGTAGTGTGTGCACATGTGCTCAGTCTTGTCTGACTGTTTGCAACTCCATAGACTGTAGCCCTCCAGGCTCCTCTGTCCATGGAATTTTCCAGGCAAGAAGATTAGAGTGCGTTGCCATGCCCTCCTCCAGGGAATCTTCCCATCCCAGGGATTAAACCCATGTCTCTTGTGTCTCCTGCATTGGCAGGCAGGTTCTTTACTGGTTGAGCCACCAGAAAAGCCCAACTATCAGAGTGGTTTCCCCTAAAATGTTGGACGACATGGAAGAGTGGGAGGGAGGTCTGTTAGAAGAGAGAGTTTTTGTTTTTTACCGTATACAGTGCAATGATATTTAACAATTTAAAAAACAAATAGAAGTAAAAGCAAGCAAAGAACAGTAATGCTGAGAATTGAAAAACACAGGTTCCAGATCAGCTGTTCTAAATAATCTGCTTGACTTCAGCAAGTCTCTTATGCCTCTGATCTTTACTGCCTGCCTTTGGAAATTGAGTGACTTGAATCAGATGACCTCAAAGGTCCCTTCCAGGTCTAACATTCTGACTGTGTGAAAGGGTTTAAAAATAGATACCCAAGTTTACAGCTGGGCAGACCATGTCCATACGATAACTTCAAAGGCTTTTCTACACTTCTACAACAGGGCATTTGCCAATGATCAGCGTAATTTTGAGGTCCTCTTTTTTTTTATTTTGGCCACACTGCACAGCATATGGGACTTTAGTTTGCTGGCCAGGGGTAGAATCTTAAACACGGAGTCTTAAACACTGTACCACTAGGGAAGGCCCTGCTTTTTGTTTTAATTTTGACTTTTTTCTGTTCTGTAGTAAAATGAGACATATGAAACTGCTTCAGTCTAAAATAAAACTCATAGGAGTTTAACTTCACGAGAGGCTTTAAGCAGAGAGATTGAATTCAAATGTAGATGCCAAAATTATAGCATCATCAGATTACAAGATAATTCAGGCCTTGTGAAAACTTTGAGAGGAGGAATGTTTTATACGTATGTATTTCTTTGCTGTCTAGTGTAGGTTTTTTTTTTCCATCTAGTAGTTTAATTGAAAGTGATCAACATTTCTCTTTTTGAATATGGTTCGCACAAGTAGTACAGTACACGTGTAGTTAAAAGTGTGTTCTGAGAAAATCACCTAGCCAGCATCCATCAGTCATAATTTAGGAGCCCCACAATGTCTTACTCCTCCATGGTGATGATGTCACATGGTGAAATATGTAACCACAGTGTCAACAGACTGAAATAACAACCTTGGGATTTTGACTTAACAGCAGGCTCTGAGTAAACTGTGATGTAAACAAACCAGCAATCTGCAAGGAAAGATGATTCTCTCTAATGTTTTCCACTTGAAGTGATACTGTTTCCGGGCTCTTTTTTTTATTTTAATTGAAGTATGGCTGATTTACAGTGTTGTGTTAGTCAAGTGTACAGCAAAGTGATTCAGTTATACATATATATCTTTTCTTTTTCAGATTCTTTCCCTTATGAGTGATTACACAATATTGAGTAGTGTATGTACTATAAGTCGGTCCTTGTTGGTTATTTATTTTATATACAACAGTTTGTATATGTTAATCCCAAACTCCCAGTTTATCCCTCCAACCCTCTTCCAGCTTTTTAAGATCAAAAGTCTGATTGCAAATCCTTGGAATGAAGACTTGATCCCAACCAGAGACTATAAGATTCTGAGTCTGCCTGAGGACTTGACAGTTAAATAATTTGTTCCAAATTATACTTCTTGTCAAGGGTAGAGTCAGAACCAGATCTGAGTTTGTCTACTGTTTCTCTTCTTGCCCCTCACGCCTATCAGTTCCTACCTGACTCTAATCGCCTTTTGGTGAAGAACTGGATTGCTTGGACTCTGTTTAGACTTGTTCATTGGCCTCCTAAAGACCCTACCTCCCACCCTCTTTATTTTATTATCAGTGACTGACTTTATTATGTATTTATTAAAATATTTATTTTATTTATTTGACTGCACTAGGTCTTTATTACAGCATGCAGGATCTCTAGATGCGGCGTGTGGAATCTTTTTAGTCGCAGCATGTGGAATCTAGTTGCCTGACCAGAGATGGAACTCTGGCCCCCTACATAGGGAGTTTGGTGTCTCAGCCACTAGACCACTGGGGAAGTCCCCCTGCCACATTCTTGCTGACGCTCCCCACCCCTTCAAGCCAGTGCCCCTTTCTTTCTGATGCCTTCTGTTGTCATTGGACACCACGGTGGTCCTCCCAATCTCCTTTTGAAAGGATCTTGTCATCCTGGGACCTAATTGTTTTTTTTCCCCCGACTGTCAGGTCAAACTATGGGCAGCAATTCATTGAGAATGTAGGGCTTGAGGTCAGAATAGGGAAAATCAAGTTTGGAGGTCAGAATAGAAAGACCATGGTTCTAGCAGGGTTTCCCAGGTGTTAGTGATAAAGAATCTGCCTGTCAGTGCAGGAGATGCAAGAGACATGAGTATGATCCCTGGGTCAGGAAGATTCCCCTAGAGTAGCAAATGGCAACCCACTCCAGTATTCTTGCCTGGGAAATCCCATGACAGAGGAGCCTGGCGGGCTACAGTCCATGGGGCCTCCAAGAATCGGACATCACTAAGCACGCTTGCACCGCATGGCTTTCTAGTGAGGAACCAAGTATATTATTCAACTGAACATACAGTCTGGAACCAATGATTTCTTTTTTAAATCTATAAAGGTAACCCTTTGGGCCTCTGCTTATCTTCTCTAAAACAGAAAAGTTGAACAAAAAGATCTTGAGATTCCTTTTAGCCCTAAAATTCTATGACATCTGAATCTCTTATTGTTGTTCAGTCAGCAAGTATTTTGTTGACAGCCTCCCCTGGAACCTGTGGATCGTATAAGGGAAAGTAGCTGTAATCTACCTGGAAAGTGAAAATGAACAGAATCACCTGGCGGCCAATAGCAAATCCTAGAAAGGCCAGGTGGAGCATGGGCTGCAAGTGGAGGAGAGTTGGAAAGAGTCAGAATGCTGGTGCCTGAGACTTAGGAGGGGAATTAGATGCTTGATAGGATTTTGCTAGACACAAGAGAAGGGTTCAGGAAATGTGTGAATCCTGGTTTTTCTCTTTTTTTGTTATTCTTTATTTTTTCTTGGCTGCACTGTGTCTTCGTTGCTGCGCGAGGGCTTTCTCTGGTTGCAGCGAGTGGGGGCTTCTCTCTAGTTGCAGTACGTGGACCCTAGGATGTGCGTGATCAATAGTCGTGGATCACTGGCTTAGTTGCCCCAAGGCATGTGCAATCTTCCCCGACCAGGAATGGAACCTGTATGTCCTGCATTGGCAGGCAGATTTTTAACCCTGGACCACCATGAAAGCCCTGAATCCTGATTTTTCAGTCTTCTGAAAACTTCTATAGGTTTTTTTATTTTATAGGTTCTCTTCTATTTTCTTTTTCTTTGCTTGTTGTAACCACTCCATTGGCCTGTGGGACCTTAATTGCCCAACCAGGGATCGAACCCTTGATTTTTGCAGCAAAAACACAGAGTCTTAAACCACTGGACCCCCAGGGAAATCCCCTCTTCTATTTTAATCTAGAAATTCTGAGATTGTCTGTCACTGTTATTTGAGGGTCCTAGTATCTGTCACTGTTATTTGAGGGTCCTAGTAGCCCATGGGCCAGTTAATTAGGAGGGAGGAGAAAATGGTATTCTTTTTCTTCTTCTCTAAAGTATAAAAAGTGTCTACCTGTGATATATGATATTCCCTGGTTAGTAGCAAAGATGACATTTTATAGGCCTTGAGGTTGTTGTTGAATCAATTATTTCAGTCTCCATTTTGCCTGCCCTTTGAAAGCAGAATTTGAGTCTAAAAAAAGGAAGGAAAACAGATCTGTTGGAAGCATGAAACCAGCCTCTCATCCTCCTCCACAAAAGAGAAGAAATAGGCCTGAGCTGGTTTCTAAATAGGAATGTTCTGACAGTGCGAGAGAATTTAGAAAGTGCCAAGAGGAAGGGAAAAACATGGAGCCCAATTTTGAAAGCCAACAGAGAGTGCAGTGTGGGTGTGAGAGAGACATTCACACCTGTTTCCTGCTGTATCTTGCTTCCTGGCTCCAGATCGCCCTCCTCTGCCAAACCTTCTCACTCTAATTGTCCCTTCCTCACCCATTCAGATAGATACACAAATGACTGAAGCTCAGGGAAACACCTCTCCACTAATATGTAAATACACTCACATGGTAGCGATACATCCAAAGGATATTCATTTGTCACAAGCATATTCATTCCTTCCAGCAAGCTTGAGTGCCTGTAATATGCCATGTACAGCACTCTGCAGTGGAGAAGTCAAGGTGAATAAGACATAATTTCTGCCCTAAGTGGTATATAACAACAAACCTATATAGATAAACGCTGAGCTGTAAACCCAGAGGTGCACATAGGCAAACATATCAGTAATGTACACCCACTGATATGTAAACTCTTGAAATAAAAAAACAGAACTGCTCACTCATAAATTTCACAAGTTCTAATGCTAGTAATGCTGAAATATTTGGAGGGAGGTTCTCCGTTTTCCTATTTTGCCTTTGTCAGTTTTGTCATCACCTTTCAAATTCCAAAAATGATTTCACTTTATAGTTCCATTCTTTTCTTATTTCTTGCTTTTAAAGAATTATTTATTCTTTAAGATGAATTGTTTCACATGGAGAAACTAAGAAAAAAGAAAGTTTGCCCAAGTTATAAATAAAGTTACCCTTTCAGGTACAAAATCTGTCTCTTTATACTCAGTTGATAAAATGGAAAAGACTGTCAGTATTTAGTGATTGATCCTTTAATGATGTCTTTTTAAAAATTTATTTATTTTATTTTTGACTGTGCTGGGTTTTCATTGCTGTGCACGGGCTCTCTTTAGTTTTGGCAAGCAGGGGCCACTCTGGCTGCAGTGAGCAGGCTTCTCATTATGGTGGCTTCTGCTGGGGGGAAGGGGCTCTAAGGCGTGCAGGCTTCAGTACTTGTAGCACATGTGCTTAGTTGCACCGAGGCATGTGGAATCTTTTGGAACCAGGGATTGAACCCATGTCCCCTGCATTGGCAGGCAGTTCTTAACCACTGGACAACCAGGGAAGTCCTAATGATGTCTTTTTAATGGGTATTTTGAACCATGAAATATGAAATCATTCCATCTTTTTTTTTTTTCAATTGTAGGTATTTGAAGAAAGAAGAGCTCTGCTTGGAAAATGGGTAACTATTTAAAGTATACTTGATTCTAAGTCAGAAAGAGAAGGACAGATACCATATGAATATTACTTATGTGTGGAATCTGAACTGTGGCACCAATGAACCTACCCTCAAAACAGAAACAGACTCACAGACGTAGAGATCAGACTTGTGGTTGCCAAGCAGGTGGAGAGGAGGGAGCGGGCTGGACCGGGAGTTTGGGGTTGGTGGATGCGAACTATTACATCTAGAATGGCTAAGCAACAAGGTCCTACCATATAGCACAGGGAACTATATCTCGTATCCTGGAATAAGCCATAATGAAAAAGAACATTAACAAAGGAATCTATATAAATCTATGTATCTATATATCCAAATCTAAGTTATACTTTCACACTTCCTCAAAGGAAACACAGTCTCAATGACCACTATCCACAATCAAAGTATAGTAAGTCTATTGTGTATGAATGAGTTCTGTTCCAAAAGTGAATTCATAGGTCCAGTTTGATCATAAATCCAACAAAGTTAGCCTTGGTACCCAACTAACACAATTGGCTGCATCCCACTGTTTATAAGCTTTCTTCCAGACATCCTGGGCTTGCAATTAAAAAACTGTTCTACTGTAGTCTACACAGTACTGTAAGGTACACAAAACCACAGCCACTTGTGGAGGATGGACACGCAGGACCGTGCACGCCAGACACATGACCTAATGTGATTGGACATGCAAACACACATTCGCATCTTTGAAAGTTCGAAACTCAAATGTTTGTATGAGGGGACTTACTCTATCCATCTCTAGCCAATGTGCATTACGCATCAGATTTCTCTACAGTCTCATTGAGAGTCTCTTGCACCCAAGAGAACTGGAAACATGGTCATACAAAAACGTGTACACTAATATTCATAGTGGCATTATTCATAATTATCAAAAATGTAAACACCCAAATGTCCATTTGGTGAGAAATGGATAAACAGAATGGGATCTATCCAAACAATGGAATAGTATTCAGCCTTAAAATGAAAACAATGGAATAGTATTTAGCCTTAAAATGAAAGGCAGCTCTGTTTCAAGCATTGTGCTATGTGAAATAAACCAGACACAAAAGGACCAATATTGTATGATTCTACTTTTATGAAGTTCTTAGAACAGGCAAATTCACAGAGAAAGAAAGTAAAATAGAGGTTATGAAGAAATCGGGACGTTATTTAACAGGTACAGAGTTTCAGCTTGAGCTTTAAAAACAGTTCTGCAGACGGATGGTGGGGATGTTGCACAACAGTGTGAGTGTGCTTCATGTCACTGAACTGTACACTTAAAAATGGTTAAAATGATAAATTTTGTAATATATAAATTTTGCCATAAATTTTAAAAAGCAAGGACAAGAAAAAAAGAGTGAAGTACTGATATATGGTACAACATAGATAAACTTTGAACATAGTATGCTGAGTGAAAGAAACCAGACACCGAAGCCACCTAGTGTATGATTCCATTTATGTGAGATATTCAAAATAGACAAATCCATACAGACAGAAAATAGATGAGTGGTTTCTAGGGGCCAGGGAGCAGGGTGGAGTGACTGACTGTAATGAGTATGGAATTTATTTGGGGGGTAATGAAAACATTCTGAAATTAGTAGTGATGGCTTTACAGCCTTGTGAATACACTAAAATGCTGGGTGGTGTGGCATATGAATTGTACGTTAATTTAAAAAAGAAATCAGGATCCCTTTAAAAAAATTATACTTGGATTTCTTTAACTCTAGGTGTATGTAATGAACTTGAAATAGTCCATCTTTAAAGCATACAGTCAAAGCCTTCTTTCCTTTTAAGGGAGCATCTTTGCCCCAGAATATAGCAATAGACAGAATATCCTACCCTGTGAGATACTGGGATTCATTTTCCCATATGTCTTAGTCCATTCCAGGTGCTATAACAAAACACTGGTGGGGGCGGGGGCTTATAAACAACAGAAAATTTATTTCTCATAGTTCTAGAGGCTGGAAAGTCCAAGATCAAGGTGCTAGCAGACTCAGTGTCTGGTGGGAACCTGCTTTCTGACTCATAGACTCCCCATGTGTCTTCACATGACAAAAGGGATAACAGATCACTCTGTAGTCTCTTTAATAAAGGACACTAAACCATTCATGAGGGTTTCCCTGGTGGCTGAGTGGTAAAGAATCCACCTGCCAATCAGGAAACTCTGGTTCACTCTCTGGATCAGGAAGATCCCCTGGAGGAGGAAGTGGCAACCCACTCCAGTATTCTTGCCTGGGAAATCCCATCAACAGAGGAGCCTGGTGGGCTACAGTCCATGGGGTCACAAAGAGCCGGACACAACTGAGCGACTGAGCATGCAGGCTCGCAATCCCATATATGAATGTTCTCCCTCATGACCTAATCCTTTCAAAGGCCCCACCCACCTCCCTGTGTCATTACCATAGGGTTAGGGTTTCAACTCAGGAATTAGGGGTGACATAAACATTCAGTCTATCCCCACTAAGACTAAGATGAAGCGCTGTATCTTACTGTTCTTGTCTGATTTAGTCACCTCTTCTTTTCTGTGAGCTCCAGTCTAAAGGTAATTACTAACCTAAAGAAGAAAAATGAAGTCATGTCCACAGTGTTTCTGGAAGACTTTACAGATACCCTGGAGAAGGAAATGGCAACCCATTCCATATTCTTGCCTGGAAAACCCCATGGACAGAGGAGCCTGGCAGGCTACAGTCCATGGGCTCGCAAAGAGTTGGACACGACTGAGCGACCTCACTTCACTTTTACTTTTACAAGAAAAGGGGCAACATTGGTTTCCTTCAGACAGGAAAACTGTCTAACAGGTGGAAGAGGCTCTTACCTGGAGAACCTTTTGTGTCTTTTGAATTTTTAATCATGTGAATGTTTTTAATCATGTGAAGGTAGTACCTATTCAAAATAATAATAAAATTGTATAAAATAAAGTCACTAAAAAATGGCAAAATGAAAAATGCCCCAAATTTAAAATCTAGCTAAGTTTTTCTCATATTGTATTTGTGTTTTTAAACTAGATTTGTTACCAACAACTTAAAAAAGAGACTTATAAAAAAAGCAAATAGATAAAATAAAAAGAGACATATTTAAAATGACTATATTTGCATTTTCATTCTACTTACTATGAGTGGAAATCCCTAAATTAATATAACCAGGGCTAATGTTCAGGCAGAATTCATTGGTATGGCTGTCCAGCCTCTGTCTATTTTGATTGGTTAGTAGCATTGCCAGTTGTTAAACATTTTTAATATCACCCTGGATAAAATTCAAGGTCTTCAAACTTTTAAAAAGATCTTGTTAATTCTTTTCTTTTCCCATAACTTATAGAAGCATATATTTGCAAAGGTCACTGATATTTGCAAAGATCACTAATTATCTCTCTGTTCCAATCAGCCAAACTACAGGGTCAGGCATGGTTTTACCATGCTCCTTGTTGTACATTGTTGATGCTATCAGGCATTTAGTAAATATTTTCTAAATGAATAAATGATGGTTTTTCTCTTTTGCCCAACAACAAACCTATTCCATAAATTCAGCACTCAGAAAACTAAGATCATGGCATCCAGTCCCATCACTTCATGGGAAATAGATGGGGAAACAGTGGAAACAGTGGCTGACTTTATTTTTCTGGGCTCCAAAATCACTGCAGATGGTGACTGCAGCCATGAAATTAAAAAACACTTACTCCTTGGAAGGAAAGTTATGATCAACCTGCTGCTGCTAAGTCACTTCAGTCGTATCCAACCTAGACAGCATATTGAAAAGCAGAGACATTACTTTGTCAACAAAGGTCCGTCTAGTCAAGGCTATGGTTTTTCCAGTAATCATGTATGGATGTGAGAGTTGGACTGAAGAAAGCTAAGTGCAGAAGAATTGATGCTTTTGAACTGTGGTGTTGGAGAAGACTCTTTTTTTTAGTTCTACCACTTTATTGCTACCAACCCATCTCCCTCACCCTCGTGCATACATGCTCAGTCATGTAATCCCATGGACTTCAACCCACCAGGTTCCTCTGTCCATGGACTTTTCCAGGCAAGAATACTGGAGTGGGTTGCCATTTCCTTCTCCATGGAGAAGACTCTTGAGAGTCCCTCGGACTGCAAGGAGATCCAATCAGTCCATCCTAAAGGAGATCCATCCTGGGTGTTCATTGGTAAGACTGATCTTGAAGCTGAAACTCCAATACTTTGGCCACCTGATGCGAAGAGCTGACTCACTGGAAAAGACCCTGATGCTGGGAAAGATTGAGGGCAGGAGGAGAAGGGGACGACAGAGGATGAGATGGTTAGATGGCATCACTGACTCAATGGACATCGGTTTGGGTGGACTCCAGGAGTTGGTGATGGACAGGGAGGCCTGGCACGCTGCGGTTCATGGAGTTGCAAAGAGTCGGACACAACTGAGCAACTGAACTGAACTGAACTAGATCATATGGTAATCTTTATACCTCCATGAAAGCCACATGAATTAAGTTTGAAGGGGATATTTCCAGTTTATTTTTATTCAGTTTTCTCTCTCCATTTTAGGTTTTAGGCTTTTTTTTGTCTATGTGTTTTATGAACAACATAACAGATTGATAGCATAAGGAATGCATTTTCAATAAGAAAGAAGAGAAGTAAGGATACAGGTTTTTAAAGATTTTCCTTTATTTGTGGCTATGCTGGGTCTTCCTCTCTGCACAGGCTTTTCTCTAGTTGTGGTGTGCAAGCTTCTCATTGCCATGGCGTCTCTTGTAGAGCGTGGGCTCTAGAGCCTTCTCATTTAATTTGTGGCGTGTGGGATCAACACAGGCTCAGTAGCTGTGGCATACGGGCTTAATTGCTCCGATGCATGTAGGATCTTCCTGGATCAGGGATCAAACCCATGTCACCTGCATTGGCCAGTAGATTCTTTACCATTGAGCCACCAGGGAAGCCCAAGGATACTGATTTTTAAATTCAGCATTACTTGGGATTTTCATTGTAGGAGTCAAGTATTGGCTTTAAAGCTCAATCTCA